TCAGTGGACAGCGTGCAATCTGAACATGAAATGTGTTGGCTTGGCTTACCGAAGTCCAAATGGAGGGACTCAAATGCAATAAAGTCTTCAACAGCTGTGCTTAATAGCAAAATTAAATAAATAACAATTTTGAGTACCTGTCCACTGTAGTGACTATTATGCATCAAAGGGTTAAGGAAAAGTGCAAAATGCTGTTGTAACTGTTTGAGGTCTGTAATGTGTTGTTTCTCAGAAGGGCGAGTGAGTAACAGCACCCTCTGCTGGCTCAAAAGACAAGGACAAAAGCTTACAGCACCTGGTATTCCCAGGCGGTCTCCCATCCAAGTACTAACCAGGCCCGACCCTGCTTAGCTTCCAAGATCAGACGAGATCGGGCGTGTTCAGGGTGGTATGGCCGTAAGCGAAGGCCTGTCCTTCCGTCCTCCCTTTTAGGGGTGCAGAGACAGATGTGCCCTTGGCTGCCATTGAATGGAAAGCTGCAATTTGAGGACGTTCCAGTAAAACGCCCTCATCCCCAGTTTGAGCTGTGTCTGGCCGGGCTCCGTGGGCCAAAGCGGAGAGGGGAGCTTGTGTAGTGACACAGTAGAATTGGTTCATGTGCTTTAATCCAAATTTGTTCAGATCACAGTTATCAGAAAGTACAAACGATATTATTTCACATTTGGATGTACAAAAAGGCCACCTTCACCTCAGTTGAGAGAAGTACCTCGTTTTTCCTTTGTTCCTCCTATGAGTGGTGGGCCCATGGAAAGTGGGAGCCACGCCCCCCTGTTCGGGCTGTGTCTGGCCGGGCTCTGTGGGTGAAATCCTTGCAAACAGGTGCCGGCCCCTCGATTTTTCTTAGTTTGTGAGTTCAGCTTTTCTTGTGTTTGGCAGCAATACATTGCAATGTGTTTCTCCAACAACCTATTTGGGTCTTTGTGGAAAAGACCTATTGGTGCATTTTGATGCCATTCCAGTAAAAGGCCCACATTTCTTTTAGCTGGTAGGGTAGCGGCAAAGACTTGCGACGTGCCATCATGGCCGCAGGATGCAGAGCCTTGCTCCGGAACGAAATCTTAATGACAATCTTTAGTTAGATCCCTGAATTGCAAGTAAGTCACAGATACATGAGGTGGATTTTCTCTATTGCAACTTGGGAAGTAAAATGTGAACGTATTGAAGAAGAAACGCTCTTTTAAAACTTGATTGCCCCATGGGCTTTTTGACATTTCTGTGTTAACCCTTTGATGCATGAATTATGAAATCTTCAACCACGATTTTTTAACAGTTTTTTGATTCATCTTTAGGTGTGAATGAAACAAATTTCGACAAATATTTTTTGTAAAATTTTATAATTTACAAATAATTTCTTACATGTCCACCTCAGTGGACAGCGTGCAATCTGAACATGAAATGTGTTGGCTTGGCTTACCGAAGTCCAAATGGAGGGGCTCAAATGCAATAAAGTCTTCAACAGCTGTGCTTAATAGCAAAAATAAATAAATAACAATTTTGAGTACCTGTCCACTGTAGTGACTATTATGCATCAAAGGGTTAAGGAAAAGTGCAAAATGCTGTTGTAACTGTTTGAGGTCTGTAATGTGTTGTTTCTCAGAAGGGCGAGTGAGTAACAGCACCCTCTGCTGGCTCAAAAGACAAGGACAAAAGCTTACAGCACCTGGTATTCCCAGGCGGTCTCCCATCCAAGTACTAACCAAGCCTGACCCTGCTTAGCTTACGAGATCAGACGAGATCGGGCGTGTTCAGGGTGGTATGGCCGTAAGCGAAGGCTTGTCCTTCCGTCCTCCCTTTTACGGGTGCAGAGACAGATGTGCCCTTGGCTGCCATTGAATGGAATGCTGCAATTTGAGGCCGTTCCAGTAAAACGCCCTCATCCCCAGTTTGAGCTGTGTCTGGCCGGGCTCCGTGGGCCAAAGCGGAGAGGGGAGCTTGTGTAGTGACACAGTAGAATTGGTTCATGCGCTTTAATCCAAATTTGTTCAGATCGCAGACATCAGAAAGTACAAACGATATTATTTCACATTTGGATGTACAAAAAGGCCACCTTCACCTCAGTTGAGAGAAGTACCTCGTTTTCCCTTTGTTCCTCCTATGAGTGGTGGGCCCATGGAAAGTGGGAGCCACGCCCCCCTGTTCGGGCTGTGTCTGGCCGGGCTCTGTGGGTGAAATCCTTGCAAACAGGTGCCGGCCCCTCGATTTTTCTTAGTTTGTGAGTTCAGCTTTTCTTGTGTTTGGCAGCAATAAATTGCAATGTGTTTCTCCAACAACCTATTTGGGTCTTTGTGGAAAAGACCTATTGGTGCATTTTGATGCCATTCCAGTAAAAGGCCCACATTTCTTTTAGCTGGTAGGGTAGCGGCAAAGACTTGCGACATGCCATCATGGCCGCAGGATGCAGAGCCTTGCTCCGGAACGAAATCTTAATGACAATCTTTAGTTAGATCCCTGAATTGCAAGTAAGTCACAGATACATGAGGTGGATTTTCTCTATTGCAACTTGGGAAGTAAAATGTGAACGTATTGAAGAAGAAACGCTCTTTTAAAACCTGATTGCCCCATGGGCTTTTTGACATTTCTGTGTTAACCCTTTGATGCATGAATTATGAAATCTTCAACCACGATTTTTTAACAGTTTTTTGATTCATCTTTAGGTGTGAATGAAACAAATTTCGACAAATATTTTTTGTAAAATTTTATAATTTACAAATAATTTCTTACATGTCCACCTCAGTGGACAGCGTGCAATCTGAACATGAAATGTGTTGGCTTGGCTTACCGAAGTCCAAATGGAGGGGCTCAAATGCAATAAAGTCTTCAACAGCTCTGCTTAATAGCAAAAATAAATAAAAAACAATTTTAGGTACCTGTCCACTGTAGTGACTATTATGCATCAAAGGGTTAAGGAAAAGTGCAAAATGCTGTTGTAACTGTTTGAGGTCTGTAATGTGTTGTTTCTCAGAAGGGCGAGTGAGTAACAGCACCCTCTGCTGGCTCAAAAGACAAGGACAAAAGCTTACAGCACCTGGTATTCCCAGGCGGTCTCCCATCCAAGTACTAACCAGGCCCGACCCTGCTTAGCTTACGAGATCAGACGAGATCGGGCGTGTTCAGGGTGGTATGGCCGTAAGCGAAGGCTTGTCCTTCCGTCCTCCCTTTTAGGGGTGCAGAGACAGATGTGCCCTTGGCTGCCATTGAATGGAATGCTGCAATTTGAGGCCGTTCCAGTAAAACGCCCTCATCCCCAGTTTGAGCTGTGTCTGGCCGGGCTCCGTGGGCCAAAGCGGAGAGGGGAGCTTGTGTAGTGACACAGTAGAATTGGTTCATGCGCTTTAATCCAAATTTGTTCAGATCGCAGACATCAGAAAGTACAAACGATATTATTTCACATTTGGATGTACAAAAAGGCCACCTTCACCTCAGTTGAGAGAAGTACCTCGTTTTTCCTTTGTTCCTCCTATGAGTGGTGGGCCCATGGAAAGTGGGAGCCACGCCCCCCTGTTCGGGCTGTGTCTGGCCGGGCTCTGTGGGTGAAATCCTTGCAAACAGGTGCCGGCCCCTCGATTTTTCTTAGTTTGTGAGTTTAGCTTTTCTTGTGTTTGGCAGCAATAAATTGCTATGTGTTTCTCCAACAACCTATTTGGGTCTTTGTGGAAAAGACCTATTGGTGCATTTTGATGCCATTCCAGTAAAAGGCCCACATTTCTTTTAGCTGGTAGGGTAGCGGCAAAGACTTGCGACGTGCCATCATGGCCGCAGGATGCAGAGCCTTGCTCCGGAACGAAATCTTAATGACAATCTTTAGTTAGATCCCTGAATTGCAAGTAAGTCACAGATACATGAGGTGGATTTTCTCTATTGCAACTTGGGAAGTAAAATGTGAACGTATTGAAGAAGAAACACTCTTTTAAAACCTGATTGCCCCATGGGCTTTTTGACATTTCTGTGTTAACCCTTTGATGCATGAATTATGAAATCTTCAACCACGATTTTTTTAACAGTTTTTTGATTCATCTTTAGGTGTGAATGAAACAAATTTCGACAAATATTTTTTGTAAAATTTTATAATTTACAAATATTTTCTTACATGTCCACCTCAGTGGACAGCGTGCAATCTGAACATGAAATGTGTTGGCTTGGCTTACCGAAGTCCAAATGGAGGGGCTCAAATGCAATAAAGTCTTCAACAGCTCTGCTTAATAGCAAAAATAAATAAAAAACAATTTTAGGTACCTGTCCACTGTAGTGACTATTATGCATCAAAGGGTTAAAGTACAGGTACAGAACAGTTGTAATGAAATACAACAAAGTACTTTACCACATTCCATCACAGTTGTGCAGCTTTCAGTTTTGATTATTGTTTCCTTTTTCCTCTTTGTGTTTTTATATTATACTTTGGCGTCCAATAAGGACAGCAAAGTTAGAACTTTATGGTGTAAAGAAACACGTTTCCTTATGGACATTCTGAATCCTTGAAATCTTGAACTTAGACCAAAAAATTGTTTTAATAAATAATAATAATAATAATAATAATAATAATAATAATAATAATAATAATAATAATAAAGAAGTTACTAAAATGCATTAAACACTGTAACACTTTGAATAAGTAACTTTTGAAATAATGACCATCCTTTTTATTTGTAGTTAGTTAGTTAGTTAGTTTTTTGTTTGTTTGTTTGTTTGTATGTTGGTTTGTTTGTTTGTTACCATTAGTCTAATCTGAAGAAAACAGAAATGAGTTTTGTTAGCATCATAGTGATTTCCATTTCTGAAGTCAAACATGTTTAAAAAATTCTTAAACTCAAGAATGAGAAGAAGCTGCAAAATCACTAAGAACTCAGAGAAGATAATGTCCTACTTGTTCATAGTTGTTGTTAGTTAGTTAGTTAGTTAGTTAGTTAGTTAGTTAGTTAGTTAGTTAGTTAGTTAGTTAGTTAGCGATGTTTATTATCCAAATAATCTAGCGAAAGAAGCTAATTTAAAAGCCTCTATTGTACGAGGGGCCTTGAACGCACCTCAGACGGAAGTTCTCCCTCGATCGTCGCGGAGGAGAAAAACAGAGAAAAGCGGTTCAAATGTTACTTTTAGTCAAAGCATTGAACCGAATGTTTCACTTTGCTGTTTTTGTCCTTCTGGGGACAGGAATGACGGTTTTAAGCGGTAACTTTTATTCTATTTTTGACTTTAATTCAAAAACGAAAGTAAAACCTTTTTGTGACGCATAGAAATTAACATTTAGTATACTTGTTCTGGTAAGGATGGACGACCTGTATGCTACAGTCTTAAACAAGCTTATGGCGTATAGTCGTTAAATAACACAAACATATAAATCAGTGTTTGTGTGTGTGGCTATTAATTTTCATAAACTGACAAGATTTAATACATTTTATTGCAGCAATAACCTGTTCAGATTTGTTTTAATCATTAATGGGGATTTTATTTTCATTATTATGAGTGCTCGAAATCCTTGAAAATGCATGAATTTCAATAACAAGTTTTCAAGGCATGGAAAGTGCATTGTTTCTGTATTAAGTCCTTGAAAATGCTTGATAATCAGAACTGCACAGTTTGGTATTTAGGATCAAACAATATAGTTAAATGTAAAAACTAAATCAGTAATTGTTGTAAGCCCTGAATAAACAGTTCAGAAAACCTCCCTGTTGCTCGAGCCAGTCAGCTCCTTTATGTAACACCCGTGACCTGCAGACTTGACCTAATATAGACCAGCCCCTGCATAGGTGGCATCCAGACCTTTAACTATGAAACGTTTATGCTATTTGCGACAGGGCTCCAGCGGGTCCTTCTGTGATAAAATAAGTAATAAAATTAAGACTGGAGCAGAGTACAGAAAAAAACTAATTGAAATATTTTTTTCTCAATTTGTGTGACTCACAACGACTCGTTCATCCCACTCCCTTTCACGTCAGACATAGGCTGCTCTCTCACTCAGACTATTCACAAAACATCTCGGAGTTGCAAACTAGTAAAATGCCCCACAAAAAACAACAAAAAAAAAACATATATGTATTTGGCTGCAACATGTTGTGAAGAAAATAGCTTCGAGTCTAGACAGTCATTTGCCAAAGCAAAAGATTTTTGCTTTGCATGAAGGTCTAGCAACGCGCCATTGAAACCTGCACAGCCCCAGCCAGCACTGTGGCTGGCCAAACACAGCACATTTATTTAGAAAAACAAATAATTTTTATTTTTTTGAGTATTAATAAAAAATGATCGATCCAAAGACTAAATCATACTTCTACTTATAACCCTTAATCCTTTTGTCATTTTCAGAACGCCACTCCCTGACCTACATCTACACGGCCTTCTCCAAACCTGTGGACCTCCCGGGTTTCCATGAGTTCACGGCCATGGGAATGCTGGACAACAGGATGATTGACTACTATGACAGCAAAGAGCAAAAGAAAGTTCCCAAACAGACGTGGATGTCAGAGCATCTTGAACAACACTATTGGGATAAAGGTACACGGTCCAGGAAGAGCAAGCAGCAGTGGTTCAAGGTCAACATCGACATCTTGATGAAACGGATGAGACAGAATGACACGGGTAATGTCCAAAGATGAGACAATAACTTTAATCATTAAAGTTAAATTGAAAGGGTCTGGGGTTTGGATCTCCTTCATGTTGTCTATGGGTCTTGGGGGGCAGATCTTTAACTATTGGACACTTCTATACAGAAACCTTACATATACAAGTGCTGGCTACCAGTGGTGTGTCTAGCATGATAAGTTATGTGGGGCACAACAGCTTAACAGCATTTGGGCGTGTGTGTGTGTGTGTGTGTGTGTGTGTGTGTGTGTGTGTGTGTGTGTGTGTGTGTGTGTGTGTGTGTGTGTGTGTTTGCCATAGGCGTCATTTTAACCGGGGACACCGGGGACATGTCCCCGGCAAAATTTGTGATGGGCAGCTGTGTCCCCCCCACTTTCAAAAAAGCCTGCTGATGAGGATTTTTGTTTTACCAGCTCAGATCTCATGGGGGATTCAACACCCACGCTTTTCCAGCTGTTTGCTAACCTCCACACCAGTCTGGTTTCTTTAGGTCGCACTCACTCTGTTTGCCTCATCTCCTTCTTCCCCTCCCTCTTCTGACAGCCGATGTCGGGTTTCCAGGAGAGCAGGAGAGGGAGGGACGGAAGAGCTCGACTGAATTCATAATTTTACATCTTGACATTAGCTGTACAAAGTCTGAGTTTGATAAAGTGAAGAACAACCATTTGCAGAGGTTTATAACAGGCGCGGCGCCAGGTTTTCATTTTTGGGTGGGCCACGGTAATTTTGGACGGACCTTAATAAGCAGTGACTTAAGTGAAGCAGGCAGGTCGCTCTAGGAAATTTCGTTTAAAAAGACGTCATAAATGTTTTCCCCAGTCATTTGTATTTCTAAAATATGAAGTAAAAACTCACAATTTAATTTTCATTCATTTGTCATTAATATGTAGTCTACACCCGTGCGTTAAGTGGACCATATTCCAGTAAAAGCAAAGCTTCCAGCCCACCTCTCCAAATGCGTAAAATGTGCATCAGCCAATAGGCACGCCGCGTGCACCATCAGCTGATCAGCCCAGACAAGAGCAGAGCAAATAGAGAAAGAATAGAGGATAAGTGTGTCTGGATGTGGATGGAGATTACATTTTACAGCAGCCTGATCATCATTTAAATACGTAAACCATCACCTGTCTTCTAGTCCACGCTATCAGCATTATTTTAATTGGTGTGTGTGTGTGTGTGTGTGTGTTTTCCACTTCAAACACTGGTCTAACCAACCAGACCAGCGTGTCCAGTAACACATTAATGTTACAATTAAACTGTTTCACTTCATGTAGGCTAGGAACATTTCACCTGCCGTGGCCCGGCCGCTTCTGCTCCATAAACTTTGTGCGTGATCAAATGTCTCTACAGGTGCTTTCTGAGGTGACGAGGCTATTCTGCCTCAGACTGGATGCGTCATGCGTCTCCATATTAGAGACGGGAACAAGCGCTGTTCAGCCAAAGTTTCATAATTTCATAAAAAGAACATTTTTCCAAGTGACACATCCCTCAGAGAGACCGGGTTTCCAGACCGCTTGAGTGGGAGGAAATCTTATCGCATGCACCGTGTGGTTCTGCGCTGCGCTGCAAACCCCTCTGCAAATCTTCAGCCCACTGTCCACCGTGGACAGTGGGCTGAACACAGTGTCCAGTATAAAGTGTCCAACTGATGTTCTGATGGGAATCAAGTTACCTCTGCGATGTGCGTATTAAAATGTCAGCTCATCCATGCGCATCAGTGTGCGTCGGGGTAATTCTTTCAAAACAACCAACATCCTTGAGTTTATCTGTCAAAATAAAAGTCAAATGTAAATATATGTAACCTGCTATTTAACTGTTTTGCCTTCGTGTGAAGATTGTTGCAAAGAGAAACAATTAAACCTGATTAACCCCAGAGCCATGCGCACTGCACTGTACTCCATGACTGTAAATGAGGGGGAAACGATTTAATCAGATCCTTTTCTTTTCAACATGGTTTAATATAAAGTTTCATTCAGTACAAACTTTAGTTGCACCAATCTAACGAGACAGAGCCTGGATTTGTATTCTGAACAGTTTAAACATGTTTAAACGGAGACATGCGTGACGGGTCTAAAATTCGCACCTGCTCCGCTATTATGGAAATTAAACTAACAAGATGAATAATATGAACTTATTTTAGGCACAGACAACATCCCCCACACTTTTGAAAAGCTTGCAACGCGCCTGGTTGCTCGTGTACGTCAAAGTTATCGTTCATAAGACGATAATCAATAAATCATTTATATAAAGTGGATCCAGAAGTTGTTGCCCGTCTCTGCCTATATTTTGATATTTTTCACCCTGTTGATGGTTTTACAGAGCAGGTGCCACTTTTGTCATACGTTTCTTTTTAAAACGCTGCGAGCACAAGCGTGACGCGTCAACCCGGTCTCACAGTAAGACCGGGTCGGAACTGTTCAGGTTTACGCTGACAATCTTTACATTTAGAATTAGCATACAGATGTAAAATTAACGCAGTAAAATATAAAGCATTTTATTTAAATATCCATTCATTATTTTACAAGCACAGAGAGCCGCATCAGATGGATGGAAGAGCCGCATGCGGCTCCAGAGCCGCAGATTGCCGACCACTGTGCTAGCCTACTTTATTGTCCCCAGCAATTTTTAAACCCCACTCCAGTGTATGGTTATTGTCCCCAGCAATTCTGAAAACAAACTGACGCCCTTGGTGTTTGCGCACATGCGTGTGTTCCATGAGCGCCTAAAATAGCAAAAACTAGCTAATTTGAGTTATCAGTTTATATAATTGTAAAGCAAACTTTGGCTATTTTCATAACCCCGTACCCCGGGTGATTGTGTACAAAGGTTTTTCACCCCAGGGCTTTTCTCATGTCTACTTTTTTGTGAGTAGATTTGTGGTTGCACACCTACTGGTGTCGGTAGCAGATCAGCTCGGGGTCCTGCGCCTGCCAGTGGCATCACACTACATGACTGGCTGAACGTAGGACTTACGAAAGATACGATAACACAATTGTAAAAGTTATGTTAGCACGTTGACCCTAAAGATTTTGATTGGTCTGAAAAAAGTAGCAGTTGTAGTGCTGTAGTCCAAAAACAAACACTTTTCGGAGAAAATAGGTTTATATTTATATTATATATTATTTATTGGACCGTTTTTTTTTCACGTGAGGCAGTAGCAGATGTGTGTCAGTAAGTAAATACATTTATTTATATAGCACTTATCACAGACATGGAATCACAAAGTGCTTCACATGGATTAAAACAAAATAAAACTGTCATAAAATCATAATGATCTCAAAACAGAATTAGATTAACGTCAGAAAAAATAAAGTCATAAAATTATAAAATTTCATAAGGTGTGGACTCGAGTCACATGACTTGAACTCGAGTCATTATTTTAATGACTTCTGACTTGACTTGGTAAAATCTATAAAGACTTACAACTTGACACAGACTTGAATGCCAGTGACTTGCGACTTGAATCGACTTGCATCTGTTGACTTGATGATGACTTGAGCATATTTTATATTTTAGCACAAAAGTGACACGACATGGACAAAAATCATAAATCATTCTTGGTTCTGGGTTTGATTTACTGCTGAATGCCGCTCTTTGTTCATAACCAGTTTCAGTTGCACTTCCTGCTTGTTTGAGCAAATAAATTAAGCTTTAAGAAGCTTTATTTCTGCAATTTATTATCATTGTTATTAAATTTAAGTTGGACAGATGACTTTAATATGACTTGAAAATTCAAAGTTAAGGACTTGACTTGGACTTCCACATCACTGGCTTTGGACTCGACTTGGACTTGACTCGAGACTTGACTGGAAAGACTTGATTTACTTGTGACTTGCAATGCAGTGACTTGGCCACACCTCTGGGCAGTAAAGACCCACATGACAGCATTTTCAGATTTGCATTATGACTTTTTTTAACAAAATTAATGCATCACTGCTTTTTTAAGAGTGTTGTGGTTTTTATATTGTAACATTTATTTATTTCATTTATTTTTCCTTGCAGATACCCACGTTCTTCAGTGGATGGTCGGATGTGAGGGTGAGAGTCAGCCTGGTGGCAGTTTTCATTTCATTCGTGGGACCAACATGTACAGCTATGATGGAGATGACTTCTTGGCCTTCGACGATAAAAATGAAGTTTGGATAGCTGCAGTTGGTCCAGCTGTAGAAACCGGAAGAAAGTGGAATAGTATTCCGGTCCTGACGGAGTACACCAAGGGTTACCTGGAGAATGAGTGTATGGCTTGGATGATAAAGTATTGGTCCTATGGCAGAGAGCAGCTCCAACAAGCCTGTATGTATCTCACTCAACAGAAATCCTGAATTTAGATTTAAAGTAAAAAGAAAATTAGACATTTTTTAAACTTAAAATCAAGCATTTCCTTTAAAAAGTGGTTACATTTAAGTTTATTTATACTATTTTTTTCTACTTGAGAGAACATCTAAACTCGCACTTATTTCACATCAGAAGAATATCTCAGATTAGACATTGCAGAACAAATATTCAGCGTTTTACTTACTTTCTCTTTCCAGCTCCACCAGAAGTGCACCTGTTCTCACAAAGAAGCCACGTTGACACTAAAGTCTTCTTGACGTGCCTGTCCACTGGCTTCTATCCTGAAGACGTCACCCTGCAGATCAAAAGAAACGGCCGCATCCTTACTGCAGAAGATGGACTGGAGACGTCTGGGATTCGTCCAAACGAGGACGACACCTTCCAGAGGAGAGACCGTGTTGAGATTTTAGAGACTGATGTGTCCACTTACACCTGTGAGGTCATTCAACCTGCCTCCGACGTTCATGTTGAAAGGACCTGGGGTAACAAAAACTTTTTTAGGCATTTGTCACTAACTGCAAGCTTTTGCATAAAGTTATTTTTCCAACCTGTTAGTTTACTTTTCGTCTTGAAAGTAAATATTTTACAAATGTAGATTTTAGCAGGAACCATAAATGCCGTTAAATTGCATGAAACTGAAAGAGAGCAGAAAATAAAACTAAAATGAATGTTTTATTTGTTTTGTTTTTTTAGATCACACTCTTCCGGAGGAGACTGTCAGTGAACTCATCACCTTTCATTTTGTTTTTGTGGTAATCTTGATGGTTATTTAATGTGATCAACAATCACATTAAATAGTAGAACTGTGAGATTGGAGTAGAATAAAGGTGTTTCCTTCACACAGAGCATGCACTTAGCTGTGGTTGACCTTCTCTGTTTACACCCATGTTTTTAACATGTAGTTCAGAAGTGTAGATTGTTTCTGTTCCTTTATTGAAGGACAAGAGAACTGTAAGAGTTCGTTCATATGAGAGTCACATTGCATTTTCATTTGCGTGCCACATGACATCATGGTTACAAATATTTTACCATTAAAAACTGCTCACTTAAATATAAATAATTTCTCCTTTTTTTCTCTTTATTACAGATTACAAAAAGGATTTCCAACTTTTGGTCAAAGTAAGTATTTTTTATTTTGGTTAAATGTCATATTCTTGACTTTATATTTGGTTTATTTTCAAATTAAAGCGGACACATTAGGATCGTTAAAATGTGATAACAGTTCTCACATGAAGAGCTCTCAGCAGCTCTACTCTTTACCTTTTCAGTACCTTCCAGAACGAGCCGTTTCAGGGCTCTAACAAACCGATGCTGGCCACGCCCACCCATCCCCTGATTGGCTGGGGGTTTATAGGAGTTAAAATGGGAGATTATGATTCCTAAAACCAAACACTAACGGAAAACGGATTTTTTTGTTCTAGTTTAAATGTTAAAGAGCAAGTCACCGCCTACCAGAGTATTACTCTGCTCCCACTTCCTGTTTGAAAAATGCGACAAATGCTGTTGCTTAGCTGACCGAGAGGTGGAGCCGCTAACAAATACACACACACACACAGGCTCACAATAACATTGCGACATCATATGGTACCAGCTAACGTTCTAGGGTACCTCTTAGCGATGGCAGATTTAACTTCAAACGCAGTGCAGAGTTTTTACCTGACAACGGCACAACACTGACAGTCTTAGGCAGAAAATTAAAATTTTAACTAAAATGCACTAAAGTGCTAAACTGTTGACTACACGTGTCTGCAGCACGATTAGACACGCATTTATATAATTTATCAGAAAAAAAGTTGATTTGGGGGTGACTTACTCTTTAAGAAGCTGTAGAAAACACATTTGACATCACAGAAAATATGCAAGGAAAAACAGATTTACAAAATGTATTCAATGTACAAAAGTGCATCAGCATATGTGTTAACTCTGTCCTTTTAACAGGTTTCTGTCTTGGTTTCGCCCTTAACAAAATGACACGTAAGAACTGTGTTTTGGATTATAATTATCTCTGTTATTATTATTATTATTATTATTATTATTATTATTATTATTATTATTATTATTATTATTATTATTATTATTCAATATTTAAAGCATTTTCTGTCATTAAATTTTGAAGATAACTGTTTTGCAACTCTGGAATTATTCATGAGCTTGCTTTATCTCGCTGTACAAAGGAAACAGTCCTATTTTTATTGGTTATGAAATTCCATCTTTCAGAATAAAATGCACTGATTGAGAGTAACCTAAATGGTGAATTTGATTAACCTTTAAGAAAAATTGTTTTTATGACTATAAGTAGATTATAACTTACTTAAATAAAGTGTAGCAACTATTTTAAAAAGTTGTTTAATTTTTTCTGCATAACATGATTTAAACAATCAGTTATCAACTGTAAGTATTTTACAATAGTGATTTTATAGAAAAATACATACAAACAAAAAGTATTTATTACAGTGTGTGTGAATACAGTTGGTATTACTGGTTTTGGGACCTCATCTATAAACAGTTTTTAGTAAAAATGTGTGCTTATGTTAGCAAAACTCAATTCTGTCTTTTTATCTTGGTGCCTCACAGTTCTACTTCTTCATCCTGGCTCTTCTCTGTCCCATCCCACAAACACTCACAGCACACCCCCACTTCTCCAACGCCTTCTTCTCCTTAAGGAACAGACCTGAGCTGGAACCCATCAACCAGGATGTCCAGTCTAGTTCACAGAACCTCAAGGACTCGAAATATTAGTCAGAACGATGCTTTCACCTCCATAGATGAAGGACATCAAGCTGTCAGTCATGAGAAAGGAGGATTTGCTTTTTGATTTGGGAGGAAAAGATGGACAGAAAAGGAAAGAAGGGATGGAGGTGTTGGAACAACATGAGGCGTTTTAAATGGGATGAAAGAAGAAACCAAAATAAAAATAGAAGTAAGTTCGTAAACCACAATAATGGTCTGATGTTCTATTTCCATAGGTAACAAATTATGACTATAGACTTGAATGCTTTTAAGTTATCAAATGAATTTATGTGATCCTTAAAAAATAAAAGCTGCATAGTGTTGCCTTTACAAGAAACAAGCAAAGGAATAAGGCAGAAGGTCTTAGAGGGAATAAAATGACACATATGACAAGAAACAATAAATGGTTATTGATGATTACAATTTACTTTGTGTGTGTGTGTGTGTGTGTGTGTGTGTGTGTGTGTGTGTGTGTGTGTGTGTGTGTGTGTGTGTGTGTGTGTGTGTGTGTGTGTGTGTGTGTGTGTGTGTGTGTGTGTGTGTGTGTGTGTGTGTGCAGAGGTGGAAAGAGTACTAAAATGTTGTACTTAAAGTACAAGTATAATTACTTTCATGAAATTTTACTCAATTACAAGTAAAATTAACTGCCTCAAAATGTGCTCAAGTAAAAGTAAAAAGTAGCTTATTTCAAATGTAGTCAGAGTAAAAGTTACTTAGTTACTTTTTTGACTGTGCAAGGACGGGCTCTTCTGAATAGTCAAAAAAAAGACAATTGGGTATAAATGTCAAAGTGGCCGTTTTTTTAATTAAATGAACAAATATGCATATTGAAGTACAAAGGCAGTTACACTGTGTCAGGTTCGTTGGCAGATCTGAAGCGTGACTGAGAGTTCTGTTGCCCAGACGTGGAGAGACGGAGATAACCGGCGTGGTTATCTCCTGAAGGTGTAGTTTGAGTGTTTAGAGGGCTGGTAAGCCTGGAGACTCGATACAAAGTCTGGTGAGAAACGATGACTGAGCAATGAATGAAACGCCGGCACTTAAGTAGTGTCGGCGTGATGACGTCAGTCGCCACGTTGGTGGCAGGAATGAATGGAATGCAGTCAGCTGGAGGAGTTCATGACACACTGCAAACTAGTAACAAATTAGGTTATAGTCACAAGCCCATGACTTTTCCCTGAATGCTTATTTAGAGCAGGGACGAAATTTTGATTTCAGAAGTGGGGGGGACACAGCAGGCTTGTGCGGATTTGGGGTGGGGGGTGTTATGTAAAGACCCCTTGACACGTCACGTGCCCATCTCAATAATTTTTCCATCCTCAATATATATATATATATATATATATATATATATATATATATATATATATATATATATATATATATATATATATATATATCAAAGTTAAAAAATGTACAACTCTATTATTATTTTTATTTATTATCATTATTGAAGTGCAGTTTTGGCTGTTGACAATGGATAGGCCATTGTATTTATTGTTTTGGGTCTTTTTTTATTGTTTTTGGTGCAACATTTTCTAACAGGGAGTGAGATTCCTTTTTTATTTAATTTTTGTTTGTTATTTTTATTCATTTAGAAGTTCTGGTTCTGGACATTTCAATGTTAAATGAAGGTTTCTTTGTTGCATTTTAAAGGGTGTACTTGCATTATTATGATATATTAACATTATATTAGTGGTTATTTTGGTCTAGATAATGTTGACAATGTTGTTTATCATCAACAATTTGTTGGACAAAATATCGTCCAGCAAAATGTGTTACTTTCCCAGGCCTAGTCAAAAGTATAAAAATTATTTAAACGGTCCTCCTGAGATCTGGCCGTTTGTTCATTTGTTGTGTTAGAGGACATGCTGAACTAATGTTTTACACATGATCATCACCCTAACATTTGAGTGTATAAAAACATATTAAATATGTTTTTCCCCTTAAAAGTGTTTAAACAGTTGTTGCATTTCAACACACAAAAAATAAATGGAAAAAATAAGATAAATCTAATGAAAAGTGTACATCTTTGACATTAAGCTTAAAAAAATCTGTTGACGATGATGATACTGTTCATTTTTCAGAGCTTTTTAATGTGAAAATATACATTGCAATAGATAAGTTTACAATAAAGTTAAATGATAAAAGTTTTGAAGTTACACTTCCACTACTACTACTACTAGTAATAATAATTATGATGATAATAGTAATAATAAAAAAATAATAATTATAATAATACGAATAAATTGTGTCTGAGGAGTCAGTTATGTGGAGGAGATGAGTTTGTAAAAGTTAGTTTTGAGTATGTTTGTGAAGGAGGAGGTGAGTCTGAGCTTAATGCAGGTCTGTCACATGTTCCAACTTACGTTTTGACTTTGAAAGAAGTCTCTTATATCCACTTTTCGTTTTCTTGACATGCTGCCGCCTGGCTGTGCCTAACTACCAAAGACTCACAAATGAACACTTATTCAAATGTTATGAAATGGAAGCTGAGCTGAGCTCTGATATTAGACAGCGTCTAGTTGACGATGTGACTCAGTACCGGTGTTCTCTAGCGGCTCCAAACTAGCAAAACAACGTGAGCACGTTCTGACTGTTTACAACTTGAGTGACAGCAGCAACAGCCAATAATACGTTAGCAAGTATCAGCAGAGCCAATAGATTAGCTTTTGGGCGGGTCTAATAGTAAACCGGTTTCCGTTTCGGTCCTAGTGCTCAACTAAATCCATTTAATGGAGCGTAACATTGTTTTTGGACGGAAAAAAGTGCATGGGGACCAAAACTGCCTTTTGAAAAAGTGGGGGGGACATGTCCCACCCGTCCCCCCCCAAAATTACGTCCCAGATTTAGAGCAGTTGATTTTTAAAGTTAGCAGAGTTCATCCTTGGTAGTGGGTTCACTCACTCATTTAAAGATATCGGCCAGAGGCAAAATTTGTTTAAACAGCATGTGTAAATGTGTATTAAAATCTCAGATGAAAAAGGTTTTTGGATTTTGACGGCTGGAATTGTAAGAAAATCTGATGTTTGTGACCGGCGCAGGAAAAACAGAAACTAACTTCCGGTCTAAGCCCTGGGCAGCTGGTGATGTTTCACAAGGAGCTCTGCTGAAACAGCTGTAGTAAACAACGCCTGGCTCCGCTGTTTCTGCGTTAGCGTTATAGCAGAGAACAATGTGTCATCAATCAGATGTAGCTTCTGAAGCCTCTACTAGTCCATCAGATTTGTTTATTCTCTGGGATACGGCGACGAGAACGGATGTTAGATTACTGGAGAAGTTCAACCGAACTCCGACCCCGCCAGCTGGATATCACTACCAGAGGTGCAGACCTGTTTTAGACCGTTTGACTCAGAAGACCTGCGACCTGAGATTCTGTTCATCTTCAGAACCAAAATCGGAACAGTTTGTTTACTTTTCTTAAATATTTCATTTCTGTTCTCCACTGGGAGCTCTAAGCTGACAAGTTTTCAGCTGGTCTTAGCTCCATCATGTGTCCCAATATAGTTCAGTAATCTACAGTTTTACTGCTGTGTGTATTTATTGACATAACTCTGGAAAATATTTAACCAACAATTTACCAGAATAAATCTTCCTGATGCTGGAGTAACTCCTTAGCTCAACTCGTTGTTTGCACTAATCCAGGATGTCATGGAGGTTCTAATGTTGAAATATAGAGATCATCTTTCAGATTATATCTGTCTCTGTGTGTGTGTGTGTGTGTGTGTGTGTGTGTGTGTGTGTGTGTGTGTGGCTTTCCCAAAGGACTTGTTCTTTCCTTACCGGAGCGAACATGGTTAGCAGTTTTGCTGCAGTCATGCTAACGGGACTCGTCTGGAGTCCAGAAGTAGCGGTGCAGTTCTAGATGGATTTATAGATGTAGGTTATTATTTTAGATCAGACCTGTTATTTAAAAATGCGTGTAGGACACAGACACATGGCTCAGACCTTTTGCTTCAGCTGTAAACGCAATTTTACGTATTAATTAGGAGCATGAAAGTAAACAAATAACAGTGATTCACAATATTAGCATCAGCAGCTAGCTTGTTTTACGTGCTGGAGTGACGTATGCGAAACACAGTTCTTCACTGTCTGGAGGAGAGGATTTGGATTTTCTGTAATGATTTATGACAAAAGTCCTTAATAAAATAAAAAACTGGACCCAGTACATGTTTATATAGATAATTAAGTGTAGTTATTTTGCATTTCTACAATTTTAATGCCGAGCCTTCACCACTTAAATCAGTTTGTTCATTCCAATCCTCCTAAATAATCCTCCAATCATCCAACTGGAATCCTTAAGGGTCCCGTAACGTACATTCTGTCAGAACAGGCCTTGGGAGCCCAGGTGTTACTAGAACTAATGGTGTCTCCTCACCAGCGTGAGCCTCCAAACTGTGAAGGTTGGTCTCCAAATATGAACTTCAAATTCATGCATTTATCTCCTCTTGTAACACTTTAACATGATTTAAAAGGCTTGTATCATGATATGTTACACCTCCCAGACCAAAAATAGGTACAATATAAGATAAAATATTATCATAAACACTGCAGAGACATCATTGTTTATTAAATATGTTATTTTCCTGAGCCATTACTTCAGCCAAGATATAGGATGCATGGATTTGATGAAGCCATGCTGTCTTATGCAGTCTCACACACACACACACACACACACACCTACACACACACACACACCTACACACACACACACACACACACACACACACACACACACACACACACACACACTGCAGCATGTTAGAATAATTTGAATGACTAATTTAACTACACTGAACTGCTTTAGTAATAATTTAATCTCGTATTCTGGAGTAAAATAAAGAAACAAGCTAAATCATCACATATCTGTGGCATCAAGGAGCAACTTCTGAGTTCAAACACAGGGATGGAGCACAATGTTTACACCTGAACAGTATCAGGATTAACTCACAGAGGCCTGCAGGTCTTCTGTTTTATGAGCAGAGCGCTGATAATCGGCTTCTTAGAAGCGCTAAACGTAACTTTGCCGCTTACGTGCGCGGTAAGGAAACACATTTCAAACACGGAACCGAGTCTGGTTGCCGAACCGAGCAGAATTCTGATGACGTCACACCAGTGCGCGAAGGTGCGGGTTCCAACCCACAGGAGAGGAGGGAGAGAGGAGGTAAACAGCGAGTGGATCACAGGGACTGAACTGATGTTTTTGAGCAAAACTGCGGTAAAAATGGCTGTTTGTCCTCATCATAAAGCGTGTACCCACCCCCCTCGGTTTAGACGCGGCGCTCATGCAGGTGTCTCTTTCCATTCCGACGCTCCTACACATAATATTTTTAATTTATTAAGCCTACAATTTATTTTTACTCAGTAACGGATATGATTTAAAATGTAGCGAATTACAATTCTTTTTTAAAAACTTACTCAAGTAAA